TTCTACGTGATGACATTACCGAAAGAACCAAGAAGATGAATCCCTGCACTCACGAAAGCTTTAAATCGAAATATATTTTGTAGGTGTGTGTGTGTTTTTGTTAAACAGCTGATGATTACCTCGTCGAATGGTTTTATGGGTTGAGGAGGTCTCTGAGGCTTCGTGAGCGGCGCCTGCTGCGTGGAATCCAGATGTTCTTCTGGCGAAGGAGAGAAAAACACAACGCAACTCGGCAAACAATACACGCGCGCGTTCGTGCCATTACAAGTGACACCGAAATAGCTGATTTAACTACCTCGCCTGGTGTACAGGAGGTCGTGGGTTCGATCCCGACCCTGACGTCTGCTGCTGTATATTTGGAGTTTGCGTGTCTCTCTCTCTCATCATCATCACGGTGGCTAGGAGATGTTAACTACCTCGCCTGGTGTACAGGAGATCGTGGGTTCGATCCCGACCCTGACGCCTGCTGCTGCTGTATATTTGGAGTTTGCGTGTCTCTCTCTCATCATCATCACGGTGGCTAGGAGATGTTGACTACCTCGCCTGGTATACAGGAGGTCGTGGGTTCGATCCCGACCCTGACGCCTGCTGCTGTATATTTGGAGTTTGCGTGTCTCTCTCTCTCATCATCATCACGGTGGCTAGGAGATGTTAACTACCTCGCCTGGTGTACAGGAGGTCGTGGGTTCGATCCCGACCCTGACGCCTGCTGCTGTATATTTGGAGTTTGCGTGTCTCTCTCTCTCACGGCCTACCCGTACCCTACCCGAAATTAGTGACAAACGGTGACTCACCAGTGACTCACGGCCTACCCGTACCCGGCCGCACCAGGGTCGCAAACGGCTACCCGTACCCGGCCGGGTACGGGTAGCCGGGTATCGGGTAGAGTACAAGTATCGGGTAGAGTGCGGGTATCGGGTAGGGTACGGGTATCGGGTAGAGTACGGGTATCGGGTAGGGTACGGGTATCGGGTACCCGGTTGCGACCTCTGCGCTCAGGTCACCAATAACCCAAACAAAACTCACCGGGCTCTTGCAAGTCGAGCGGAGGTTGAGTTTCCCCCGCGGTGTCCCCTTGCCTCGTGGACTCCTCGTGCCTCGCGGACTCCTCCTGATCTTGCGGAAGAGCCGCTTGTAGAACCTGCTCGCTTCCGCTGTAGCTGCGCGCGTGGTGGTGTGGTTGCGAGTGTGGGTCACAATCGTTCGCCAATAAGGTCAACGGTGCGTCATGAACGCTGTTCTGTGGATATACTGTCAGTCACCAAGTGGATCCCCTGTGGGGCATTGTGGCTGGTTATGTTCCTGCTGCTGCTGCTACATTCCTACTTCCCATAGACTCACTCACACAGAGACCCATAGACTCATCACACAGAGACCCATAGACTCATCACACAGAGACCCGCAGACTCACCACACAGAGACCCATAGACTCACACACAGAGACCCAGACTCACACAGAGACCCATAGACTCACCACAGAGACCCACACTCACACACAGAGACCCACAGACTCACCACACAGAGACCCACAGACTCACACACAGAGACCCACAGACTCACCACACAGAGACCCACAACTCACCACACAGAGACCCACAGACTCACCACACAGAGACCCACAGACTCACCACACAGAGACCCATAGACTCACCACACAGAGACCCACAGACCATCACCAGAGACCCACAGACTCACCACACAGAGACCCACAGACTCACACACAGAGACCCATAGACTCACCACACAGAGACCCACAGACTCACCACACAGAGACCCAGACTCACACACAGAGACCCAGACTCACCACACAGAGACCCAGACTCACCACAGAGACCCAGACTCACCACACAGAGACCCAAGACTCACACACGAGACCCACAGACTCACCAGAGACCCAGACTCACACACAGAGACCCACAGACTCACCACACAGAGACCCACAGACTCACACACAGAGACCCACAGACTCACCACAGAGACCCATAGACTCACACGAGACCCAGACTCACACAGAGACCCACACTCACCACACAGAGACCCACAGACTCACCACAGAGACCCACAGACTCACCACACAGAGACCCACAGACTCACCACACGAGACCCATAGACTCACCACACAGAGACCCACAGACTCACCACACAGAGACCCATACTCACCACACAGAGACCCACAGACTCACACACAGAGACCCACAGACTCACCACACAGAGACCCACAGACTCACATAGAGACCCATAGACTCACCACACAGAGACCCACAGACTCACCACACAGAGACCCACAGACTCACACACAGAGACCCAGACTCACCACACAGAGACCCACAGACTCACACACAGAGACCCACAGACTCACCACACAGAGACCCACAGACTCACACACAGAGACCCACAGACTCACCACGACCCAGACTCACACACAGACCCCAGACTCACCACACAGAGACCCACAGACTCACCACACAGAGACCCACAGACTCACACAGAGACCCATAGACTCACACAGAGACCCACAGACTCACACAGAGACCCACAGACTCACCACACAGAGACCCACAGACTCACCACACAGAGACCCACTCACCACACAGAGACCCACAGACTCACCACACAGAGACCCACAGACTCACCACACAGAGACCCACAGACTCACCACACAGAGACCCACAGACTCACCACACAGAGACCCACAGACTCACCACACAGAGACCCACAGACTCACCACACAGAGACCCACAGACTCACACACAGAGACCCACAGACTCACCACAGAGACCCACAGACTCACCACACAGAGACCCACAGACTCACACACAGAGACCCAGACTCACCACACAGAGACCCACAGACTCACCACACAGAGACCCACAGACTCACCACACAGAGACCCACAGACTCACACACAGAGACCCACAGACTCACCACACAGAGACCCACAGACTCACCACACACCACAGACTCACCACACAGAGACCCACAACTCACACACAGAGACCCATAGACTCACCACACAGAGACCCACAGACTCACCACACAGAGACCCAAGACTCACACACAGAGACCCAGACTCACCACACAGAGACCCACAGACTCACCACACAGAGACCCACAGACTCACCACAGAGACCCACAGACTCACCACACAGAGACCCATAGACTCACCACACAGAGACCCAGACTCACCACACAGAGACCCATAGACTCACCACACAGAGACCCACAGACTCACCACACAGAGACCCACACTCACCACACAGAGACCCACAGACTCACCACACAGAGACCCACAGACTCACCACACAGAGACCCACAGACTCACCACAGAGACCCACAGACTCACCACACAGAGACCCACAGACTCACCACACAGAGACCCACAGACTCACCACACAGAGACCCAGACTCACCACACAGAGACCCACAGACTCACACACAGAGACCCACAGACTCACCACACAGAGACCCACAGACTCACCCACAGAGACCCACAGACTCATCACACAGAGACCACAGACTCATCACACAGAGACCCACAGACTCACCACAGAGACCCACAGACTCACACGAGACCCACAGACTCACCACACAGAGACCCACAGACTCACCACACAGAGACCCACAGACTCACCACACAGAGACCCACAGACCACAAGAGACCCAGACTCACCACACAGAGACCCACAGACTCACCACACAGAGACCCACAGACTCACCACACAGAGACCCACAGACTCACCACACAGAGACCCACAGACTCACCACACAGACCCATAGACTCACACACAGAGACCCACAGACTCACCACACAGAGACCCACAGACTCACCACAGAGACCCCAGACTCATCACACAGAGACCCACAGACTCACCACACAGAGACCCACAGACTCCACACAGAGACCCACAGACTCACCACACAGAGACCCACAGACTCACCACAGAGACCCACAGACTCACCACACAGAGACCCACAGACTCACCACACAGACCCATAGACTCACCACACAGAGACCCACAGACTCACCACACAGAGACCCACAGACTCACACACAGAGACCCACAGACTCACACACAGAGACCCATAGACTCACACACAGAGACCCACAGACTCACCACACAGAGACCCACAGACTCACCACAGAGACCCATAGACTCACACACAGAGACCCACAGACTCACCACACAGAGACCCACAGACTCACACACAGAGACCCACAGACTCACACACAGAGACCCACATACTCACCACACGTAGACCCACAGACTCACACACAGAGACCCACAGACTCACCACACAGAGACCCACAGACTCACCACACAGAGACCCACAGACTCACCACACAGAGACCCACAGACTCACCACAGAGACCCACAGACTCACCACACAGAGACCCACAGACTCACCACAGAGACCCATAGACTCACCACAGAGACCCACAGACTCACCACACAGAGACCCACAGACTCACCACACAGAGACCCACAGACTCACCACACAGAGACCCACAGACTCACCACACAGAGACCCACAGACTCACCACACAGAGACCCACAGACTCACCACACAGAGACCCACAGACTCACCACACAGAGACCCACAGACTCCACACAGAGACCCACAGACTCACACACAGAGACCCACAGACTCACCACACAGAGACCCACAGACTCACCACACAGAGACCCACAGACTCACCACACAGAGACCCACAGACTCACACACAGAGACCCATAGACTCACCACACAGAGACCCACAGACTCACCACACAGAGACCCACAGACTCACCACACAGACCCACCACACAGACTCACCACAGAGACCCATAGACTCACCACACAGAGACCCACAGACTCACACACAGAGACCCACAGACTCACCACACAGAGACCCACAGACTCACCACACAGAGACCCATAGACTCACACAGAGACCATAGACTCACTACACAGAGACCCACAGACTCACCACACAGAGACCCACAGACTCACCACACAGAGACCCACACTCATCACACAGAGACCCACATACTCACCACACAGAGACCCCACAGACTCACCACACAGAGACCCACAGGACTACACCACACCAGAGACCCACAGACTCTACAACACAGAGACCCACAGACTCACCACCAGAGACCCACAGAACTCACCACACAGAGACCCACAGACTCACCACACTAGCGACCCACTAGACTCACCCACACAGAGACCCATAGACGCACCACCAGTGACCCACCAGACTCCACACAAGATGAGACCCACAGATCCACCACACAGAGACCCCAATTGCATCCATTGATCGTGCTATCGATCGCAACCGCACGAGGGGTGTCGTCCGGATAGATCGCCCGAGCAGAGCAACGCTTCCGTGTTCGACGGCTGTCGACGGAAAGCAGATGTCGCCGGAAGCTACCTCTGAGATCCTTTCAATTGACCCTCTGACCCACACCGGCAAGGGGGGGCAGCAACTCTCCCACCCGCATGGGCCCCCGGGGGTCAATGTGACGGTCGAACCGACGTTTGGCCAAACTTAAGCGCAAAACACAAATATTCACGCGACGGTATTCTTAGGGTTTTTAAATCCTTTATATTAAGTTCGCTTGCTTGCTTGCTTACGACCGTGCAAACCTTTCGGTCGTTTTTTAACCCACTTCCCGTGATCCAATCGAGCTGACATTTTGCACACAGACTCGTTGTGCGAGACAATTAATGTTCGTGAAAATTTTTTTCCAAAATTTTACACTGTTTAGGGAAAACTAATTAAATATTTAATTACCAATTGTTTAATACTGGCAGACAATCATCTGACCCATAGGTGGCAGCCATCTCAAGCCAGAGGACGAGAGGACTCTAGCCGCCACGCATATAAAGGATTTAGAGTGAAAAACTTAGTTTTTACGGGTTATACTTATTTTTTCGGTAAAGTCACGTAGGTAAAAAATAAAATTGCTCAAAGTAGTGATGGAAATAAAATAATTATGGATTTGAAGCTTTCGTGACTGCAAGGATTCATATTCTTAGGTTTTTTCGGTAAAGTCACCAGGTAGGTAAAAAAATAATAAAAGTGGTGGCTCTTGTGATCTCTCATTTGCTGATACGGCTGTCGTGGCTGTGACGGTTCCAACTGTTGCCTCCGAAACGTCGTGAGTTTTATTTTATTTTATTTTGCTTTTATAAATTTTTTACCTACGTGACTTTACCGAAAAAACCTAAGAATATGGAAACAAAATAATAAATCACGACGTTTCGGAGGCAACACAAGCTTCCGTCTTCAGGTGGAACCGTCACAGCCACGACAGCCGTATCAAGTTAATGAAAGATTGCAAGAGCTACCACTCCGTGTATATAATGGTTATATAAACGGATATATAATGGATATATAAACGGAGTGGTAGCTCTTGTGATCTCTCATTTACTTGATCCAGCTGTCGTGTCTGTGACGGTTCCACCTGAAGACGGAAGCTTGTGTTGCCTCCGAAACGTCGTGAGTTTTATTTTATTTTATTTTGCTTTTATAAATTTTTTTCCTACACGGTGACTTTACCGAAAAAACCTAAGAATATGGAAACAAAATAATAAATCACGACGTTTCGGAGGCAACACAAGTCTCCGTCTTCAGGTGGAACCGTCACAGCCACGACAGCCGCATCAAGTAAATGAGAGATTGCAAGAGCTACCACTCCGTGTATATAATGGTTATATAAACGGATATATAAACGGAGTGGTAGCTCTTGTGATCTCTCATTTACTTGATCCGGCTGTCGTGGCTGTGACGGTTCCACCTGAAGACGGAAGCTTGTGTTGCCTCCGAAACGTCGTGAGTTTTATTTTATTTTATTTTACTTTTATTAATTTTTTTCCTACACGGTGACTTTACCGAAAAAACCTAAGAATATGGAAACAAAATAATAAATCACGACGTTTCGGAGGCAACACAAGTCTCCGTCATCAGGTGGGACCGTCACAGCTAAAATTACTGCATCATTTTATTATTTTTTTACCGACGTGACTTCACCGATAAAACCTAAGGGTATGTCTTGTGACCCCACCACCCCCCCCCCTAATTTATCGACCCCCGAGGCTGCTTTCCTGGGTAAATCGACGTCATTATATTTCTGTTATCGTCACGCGTTGTTGTGTTTCACGGCGGCGTTCATACCTCGCTGACCCGTTCCCCTCGCGGCGTCCCGGGGCCGTCTCCGCGCCGCCGCGAGCTGCTCTGTCTCCCCGGCTCCTGGTCGCGTCGTCATCTGGCATCTCGATGTCCGTGGCGGTGGCCGCGCTCGCCTCTCCGTCGCTGCGTTCCTCGTCAGTCTCGTGAACAGAACGTGCCGATTCGATACGAGGACAGCACACCGGTGATGCCGGAGAGTCAATCCACAACGGTTGCAACTTGAGCGCGTCGCTTAGCCAGTCATTGCAACCGGCATCATCAGGGGACAGTCAGGGTCTCGAGCGAACCCACGATCTCCTGTACACCAGGCGAGGTAGTTAACATCTCCTAGCCAACGTGATGATGATGATGAGAGAGACACGCAAACTCCAAATATACAACAGCAGATGTCAGGGTCGGGATCGAACCCACGACCTCCTGTATACCAGGCGAGGTAGTTAACATCTCCTAGCCACCGTGATGATGATGAGAGAGAGAGAGACACGCAAACTCCAAATATACAGCAGCAGGCGTCAGGATCGGGATCGAACCCACGACCTCCTGTATACCAGGCGAGGTAGTTAACATCTCCTAGCCACCGTGATGATGATGATGAGAGAGACACGCAAACTCCAAATATACAGCAGCGGGCGTCAGGGTCGGGATCGAACCCACGACCTCCTGTACACCAGGCGAGGTAGTTAACATCTCCTAGCCACCGTGATGATGATGAGAGAGAGAGACACGCACGCTCCAAATATACAGCAGCAGACGTCAGGGTCGGGATCGAACCCACGACCTCCTGTACACCAGGCGAGGTAGTTAACATCTCCCGGCCACCGCAGCGCATATATAAACCTTCGATAATCACTTCTAAATGAAGCGTGCCATTTCATACGCGTATATCAAAGATGTATTATGGACGACTCAATATGTTAGACAATAATGTTTTGTCTTTCTTTGGAATTTTCACACTTAAATTCTAACTTAGCAATCTTTGAAATACGTAATCGACCAGGCTGTGCGTTAATTGTGTGTTGACCGACTCTCTGTGTCGTTTGACATAACATTTCGATACTTTTCTAGGTTATTTAATTTAGTGTGTTCTGTCTCCCTCTAAGCCTGCTTACCTTACTCCCCTCCCTTCGTACTCATTGACATGTAAATGTTTTCCTCTACCCCCTCCCTCTCTCTGCCTCCGCCCCCTCTGTCTATTTAAGGCCTCGCCACAGAGACGATCACCTCTCTCTGTGCCTGTGTTACTCTCTCTCTGTGTATCTTGGTGATGTCTGTCTGCTTGTATGTCTGTCTATAGTTTTCTATTTAAGGCCACCCCACAGAGACGATCACCCCTCTCTGTGCCTGTGTCGCTCTCTCTCTGTGTATCTTGGTGATGTCTGTCTGCTTGTATGTCTGTCTATAGTTTTCTATTTAAGGCCACCCCACAGAGACGATCACCTCTCTCTGTGCCTGTGTTACTCTCTCTCTGTGTATCTTGGTGATGTCTGTCTGCTTGTATGTCTGTCTATAGTTTTCTATTTAAGGCCAACCCACAGAGACGATCACCTCTCTCTGTGCCTGTGTTGCTCTCTCTCTGTGTATCTTGGTGATATCTGTCTGCTTATATGTCTGTCTATAGTTTTCTATTTAAGGCCACCCCACAGAGACGATCACCTCTCTCTGTGCCTGTGTTACTCTCTCTCTGTGTATCTTGGTGATGTCTGTCTGCTTGTATGTCTGTCTATAGTTTTCTATTTAAGGCCACCCCACAGAGACGATCACCCCTCTCTGTGCCTGGGTTACTCTCTCTCTCTGTATCTTGGTGATATCTGTCTGCTTGTATGTCTGTCTATAGTTTTCTATTTAAGGCCACCCCACAGAGACGATCACCCCTCTCTGTACCTGTGTTACTCTCTCTCTGTGTATCTTGGTGATGTCTGTCTGCTTGTATGTCTGTCTATAGTTTTCTATTTAAGGCCACCCCACAGAGACGATCACCTCTCTCTGTACCTGTGTTGCTCTCTCTCTGTGTATCTTGGTGATATCTGTCTGCTTATATGTCTGTCTATAGTTTTCTATTTAAGGCCTCGCCACAGAGACGATCACCTCTCTCTGTGCCTGTGTTACTATCTCTCTCTGTGTATCTTGGTGATATCTGTCTGCTTGTATGTCTGTCTATAGTTTTCTATTTAAGGCCACCCCACAGAGACGATCACCCCTCTCTGTACCTGTGTTACTCTCTCTCTGTGTATCTTGGTGATGTCTGTCTGCTTATATGTCTGTCTATAGTTTTCTAGTTAGATTTTGTGTCGCTATTTCATTTATACCTGATGATGATTGTGTTGCAATCGAAACGTCGTAGTATGCTATTATTCAATTTATTCTTTTATCTTTATACGCGACTTTACCGAAAGAACCAAAGAATATTTCCTGCAGTCACGAAAGCTCCAAAATTAAGATACGATAGGTAACGTTTGATCACAGCGCATGAAACATTAAGTCGGGTGTTGCATCACCACCCGTCGGCACCAAATGCCAAGAGTGTTACCTGATGCCCCTTGGCTTCCTTTTCCAGCAGCTCCTTCGACGCCTCCCTCGCTGCAATCAACGCTTCACTCCTGGCCGTGTCTTGCTTGGTCAGCACCCTGCGTTGTGCATTTGAGGATTTTCTTTCGACGCAAATCACCGGCTATCAGAGGTCGCAAACGGGTTACGATTCCTTACCCGTACCCAGGCCGCACCAGGGTCGCAAACGGGTAGCCGTACCCGGCCGTACCCTTACCCTACCCGTACCCGTACCCTACCCGTACCCGTACCCTACCCGTACCCGTACCCTACCCGTACCCGTACCCTACCCGTACCCGCACCCTACCCGTACCCGCACCCTACCCGTACCCGTACCCTACCCGTACCCGTACCCTACCCGTACCCGTACCCTACCCGTACCCAGGCCGCACCAGGGTCGCAAACGGGTACCCGTACCCAGCCGTACCCGTACCCTACCCGTACCCAGCCGGGTACGGGTAGGGTACGGGTATCGGGTACCCGATTGCGACCTCTGGGATGAAGCCACGTTGCAGGCGCGGGTGGGTTGATTCTAGGAACTTGAATTGTGAGAAGAGACAAGACGTTGGGAAATGAGTGACAAACGGTGACTCACCAGTGACTCACGGCCTACCCGTACCCGTCCGCACCAGGGTCGTCGCAAACGGGTAGCCATACCCGTACGGGTAGCCGGGTATCGGGTAGGGTACGGGTATCGGGTACCCGGTTGCGACCTCTGCCGGCTATTAATAATCGGGGTTTTCCCCACTTTTTTTCTGGCGACAAAACTGAAACCTTTTGCAAAGGAATCACGTTTGCATTAACCACAACACTTGCAGTCGAAATGCAAACAAAAGAACAACACTCTGATCATTTAAGCATTGTCCTTGAAACTGATTGCTCCACACCAGAGACAGCTTTCCCTAGAGCCTTAGGAGACCTGAGGCAACACCTCACGAGACCTGAGGCGGCACTTCAAATGTTACTCCGACTTCCTACGTACAAACCCAGAACGCATGAAAGGATACATTTCGGCCACCCGTTCATTGAACGTCGCGAACCGAAAACCTGAAAGAGGAGTTGATGTTAGGGCCTGTTTGTGATTACGAAAACGTGCATCACATCGTTGATTGAAGCTAAATGTGTAAAATGTGCATGTTTTATGCGCACTGCATTTTTGCATGTTGCCAAGTCTGTCAGCAGTTCCCGAAGAACTGCATTGTGGTCGCTTTGTCTTAGACGATGTAATGAAACATTCCCGCAAATGTGTGCGTCTGACAGCAGCCGCAGTGATGCAGCAAAGGAGCAGCTTCGTTCTCATTGTAACTCATCAGCACATGCATGCTTACAGCTGCAACACAATCTACAATGTGTTAACAACAATAATAACCCATCAGAACAGCATCATAGCGCATTCCAAAACAAACCCCCCAACACTATGGGGACCTCATTTGCCAGTAAAAATTTGATAATTGGTTCTTTACCCTTCTATCTGGCAACAAAACTGACACCTTTTTACAAGGAGTGCGCCTTTTGGCGTCTTCTGGTCCAACCCATGTGAGACTAGGCTCTAAGGAAAGCTGTCTCGGGTGTGGACCAATCAACTTCAAGGACCATGTGAGACTAGGCTCTAAGGAAAGCTGTCTCGGGTGTGGACCAATCAACTTCAAGGACCATGTGAGACTAGGCTCTAAGGAAAGCTGTCTCGGGTGTGGACCAATCAACTTCAAGGACCATGTGAGACTAGGCTCTAAGGAAAGCTGTCTCGGGTGTGGACCAATCAACTTCAAGGACCATGTGAGACTAGGCTCTAAGGAAAGCTGTCTCGGGTGTGGACCAATCAACTTCAAGGACCATGTGAGACTAGGCTCTAAGGAAAGCTGTCTCGGGTGTGGACCAATCAACTTCAAGGACAGTGCACATACATTATCAGAGTTATGTTTTTTTGTTTGCATTATGACTGCAGGTATTGTGGTCTATGCAAACATGACTCCTTGTAAAAAGGTGTCAGTTTTGTTGCCAGATAGAAGGGTAAAAAAACAATTATCAAACCCCCAACACTTCGATGTAAAGCTTCTTTCGTGACTGCAGGGATTCATCTTCTTGGTTCTTTCGGTAAAGTCATCACGTAGAAGGGAAGTAATAAAATAATGAAAATAAAACATAATAAGATACAATTCTCACGACGTTTCGGCCACAACGCAAGCAGCCGTCCTCAGGTGAAGAACAGGTCTGTCGGAAAGACAGCGTCTGAATGAAACACCACCAGGCTTGGCAGCGTATATTTAAGCTGCTGGGTTGGAGGGGGAAGGGCGCCTTGACAAAGGAGTTTGCATATCAAGAGGAATTTAGCATATTTATGCGAAATGCAGATATGGGATTAGTACTACTTGTGAAATGCGTTGTGGCCGAAACGTCGTGAGAATTATTTTATTATGTTTAATTTTTATTGTTTTATTATTTCCATTCTACGTGGCTTTGTATTTTATTACGTTTTATTTTTATTATTTCTCTTCTACGTGACTTTGTATTTTATTATGTTTTATTTTTATTATTTCCCTTCTACGTGACTTTGTATTTTATTATGTTTTATTTTATTATTTCCCTTCTACGTGACTTTGTATTTTATTATGTTTTATTTTTATTATTTTATTACTTCCATTCTACGTGACGACTTTACCGAAAGAACCGAGAAGATAAACCCCCCGACACGTTTCGAACCACGCGCAAGGGCCGCGTTTTTTTTTTTTTACACCAGTGGCGGCTCCTGCAAAATCTCTCAGGGGGGGCAAACGTCTGGATGATTGATAAGGATAAGCTCCACCCATGCAATGGATAAATTAACAGCTTAAGCAGGTAAAGGCAACTTCACTTCTTTAATATTAATGACAAATAAAGTGACTCTTACAATACATCTTGTTTGTTTCTATACTCACTATTATTACAATCCACTCAGTTTCTTTTATTAAAGATTCCACTAGGTGGCGACAAATAATATCGTTGACTGAAACGTGCTGACGTATGATGACGTAAGCACGTTAGGGCGAGCCCTCCCGGAAGCCGTAGAGAATGCTTTGCAGCGCCCGCCGTTCGAAAAAAAACATCTTTGAATGTAAGTCTCTGGGAACACTCGGGGCGATTCTCAGCCGGAGTGAAATCGCCCAAAAAGAGGCGGTACTCCACAGAACGTGACATGACGCTGATTGGACTATATCCAGAGGCACAGTGACGGCTAGCGTGACTCTGTGGTTGAATGAGATTGGTGGTGCGTCGCCCAATCGCCCTAATGAAGAAACTGCCCCTGTGGTGTCGACGCGTTGCTAATGCCGCTTCACCCGTTTCGCGATTCATCTTTCTCCGCTGCTCCTTGCGATCCTGCTTCTCCGTGGCGATGGCGCCTCTCAAGGCGGCCAGCTCTCCCTCCTTCTTTGCGAGGAGCACCTGGGAGTGAACGCTGGGCTCCTCCTCGTAGTCCGTCAACATGGCCTCGTAATGTTTTACGATGTCGGCTAAGCGCACCCTGTGCGCACGTCACGAACCCAAGAGGGCAAGAGGTTACATGTTTTGCTGGTAGGAACGAAGTGGACCAGACACCAATAGATTATATCGTCCGTCCGTTTGTCCGTTTGTCCGTCCGTCCGTGTAGCAACATCGCCCCCTACTGCAAACACTTGACATGACCCTACAAAAACCTTTAGACTGTGACGCTTTCCTGGCTAAACTAGTGTAACATTCCCTTATAATTCCCTGAGATAGCTTTTAATTACAAAAACCTTTATACTCAGTGACGCTTTCCTGGCTAAACAAGTGTAACATTCCCTTATAATTCCCTGAGATAGCTTTTAATTACAAAAACCTTTAGACTGTGACGCTTTCCTGGCTAAACTAGTGTAACATTCCCTTATAATTCCCTGAGATAGCTTTTAATTAAAACATTTAAACTAAAAATTAACTCACAGCGGCCTAAAGCCTACAGCTAGGCCTAAAGCCTAGAACTAGGCCTGAAACTCTCCCTTCGTATCGTCCGATTAGGTGTAGCAACATCGCCCCCTACTGCAAACACTTGGCAGGACCCTACAAAAACCTTTAGACTCAGTGAGGCTTTCCTGGCTAAACAAGTGTAATAATACATTATGTTTATATTCTTTGGTTATTCGTTCCTACCAGCCCACCCCGCAGAGTCCTGTTATAAGACGTGTGATGTCAGTGCTCCACAATGGAGGTTTTTTGGGGGGGGGGTGAGATCGCGTGAATGTATAAATGTGTCGTTAAAACTCGCCACCACCCGACACAGCCAACTCGTGAGGGTTGTCACGTAAACAACGTGGCCAATTCGTCACTGGTACAGCACTAGTGTGTAGTGTATAGTGTAGTGTATGTGTAGTGTATAGTGTAGTGTATAGTGTAGTGTATAGTGTAGTGTATGTGTAGTGAATAGTAGTGTAGTGTATAGTGTAGTGTGTAGTGTATAGTATAGTGTGTAGTGTAGTGTATAGTGTAGTGTATGTGTAGTGAATAGTAGTGTAGTGTATAGTAGTGTAGTGTATAGTAGTGTAGTGGAATGTGTAGTGAATAGTAGTGTAGTCTATAGTAGTGTAGTGGATAGTGTATTGTATAGTAGTGTATTGTATTGTATAGTAGTGTAGTGTATAGTAGTGTAGTGTATAGTGTAGTGTATAGTGTAGTGTATAGTGTAGTTATAGTAGTGTAGTGTATAGTGTAGTGTATAGTGTAGTGTATAGTAGTGTAGTGTATAGTGTAGTGTATAGTGTAGTGTATAGTAGTGTAGTGTATAGTGTAGTGTATAGTGTAGTGTATAGTAGTGTAGTGTATAGTGTAGTGTATAGTGTAGTGTATAGTAGTGTAGTGTATAGTGTATAGTAGTGTATAGTGTATAGTAGTGTAGTGTATAGTGTAGTGTATAGTGTAGTGTATAGTGTAGTGTATAGTGTAGTGTATAGTGTGTAGTAGTGTATAGTGTAGTGTATAGTGTGTAGTAGTGTATAGTGTGTAGTAGTGTATAGTGTAGTGTATAGTGTGTAGTAGTGTATAGTGTAGTGTGTAGTGTAGTGTATAGTGTAGTGTATAGTGTAGTGTATAGTGTGTAGTAGTGTATAGTGTAGTGTATAGTGTAGTGTATAGTGTAGTGTATAGTGTGTAGTGTAGTGTATAGTGTAGTGTATAGTGTAGTGTATAGTGTGTAGTAGTGTATAGTGTAGTGTATAGTGTAGTGTATAGTGTGTAGTAGTGTGTAGTGTAGTGTATAGTGTAGTGTATAGTGTAGTGTAGTGTATAGTGTAGTGTATAGTGTGTAGTAGTGTATAGTGTAGTGTATAGTGTAGTGTATAGTGTGTAGTAGTGTATAGTGTAGTGTATAGTGTAGTGTATAGTGTAGTGTAGTGTATACAACAAGTTCATGTATTAGGTATAGAGCCCTGTGAGCCATTGGGCTCTTGAATCGGGTGCAACCGCAACAAACAAAAAACATGAACTAAAAACATCTTAAAGTGACTATATGTGACTAAGTGCAAACAGAAAATCCAAGAAAAGACAGCAAAATATTGCAGAAAAAGACTCACGATTCGTCTGCAAGGTGTTGCTTGGCGGCTTCCAGTTGCTTGCGTCTGTCCAACGTGTGTTTAATGAGAATATTCTGCGCCGCATTCAATCTGTGAGAATAACAACGGGCTCAAAATCCAGGGTCGTGCGCTCGAGTGACATCGCACGCGAATCGTAGCGGCGACGATTTTGTAGGCTTCCACAACCGATATCGTGATTCGTTTGTTCTGCATCGACTCGCGTAGAGGAGTCATGTCAATGTGATATTGTCACAGGCTTAGTCACAAACCGTACCTCTCCATAACAAAGGCTCACCCTCTTAAGCCTCACCTTACCGTATGAATAAAAAGTGTGCCGTACTTGGCCCTTACCGCCTCTCCAACCATTATATAAACGGAGTGGTAGCTCTTGCAATCTCTCATTTACTTGATGCGGCTGTCGTGGCTGTGACGGTACCTCCTGAAGACGGAGACTTGTGTTGCCTCCGAAACGTCGTGATTTTTTCTTTTTTCATTAATTTTCATTTCATTTTTTACCTACATGGTGACTTTACCGAAAGACTGACACTTAGCGGCCAGCTGAAATGTTGTTAATCATTCAGGGTTTGAAGCTTTCGTAACTGCAAGGATTCATACTCTTAGGTTTTTTCGGTAAAGTCACGTAGGTAAAACATTAAAATTATATATACGGAGTGGTAGCTCTTGCAATCTCTCATTTGCTTGATACGGCTGTCGTGGCTGTGACGGTTCCACCTGAAGACGGAAGCTGGTGTTGCCTCCGAAACGTCGTGATTTTTATTTTATTTTATAAATTTTAATGTTTTACCTACACGGTGACTTTACCGAAAAAACCTAAGAATATGAATCCTTGCAGTCACGAAAGCTTCAAATCTAGAGTGATGTACAAGCCTGTACGGTCAAACAAACCGAGTTGTTACGTGGGAGAAAAAATGCGCTCGTTGATTTTGCTCTTCAACAAACCAGTTGCGTTGAACAACAAAATCAGACTGTCTCCTCGACAGACCTGTTCTTCACCTGAGGACGGCTGCTTGCGTTGTGGCCGAAACGTCGTGAGAATTATTTTATTGGTTTATTTTTATTATTTTATTATTTCCATTCTACGTGATTTTACCGAAAGAACCAAGAAGATGAAACAAAATCAATTGGCCACGTTCTTAACGCGGCAACTTGATTTGTTTGGCCATGTCCTCTGTTTCGATTTAAAGCTTTCGTGACTGCAGGGATTCATCTTCTTGGTTCTTTCGGTGAAATCACGTAGAAGGGAAGTAATAAAATAATAAAAATAAAACATAATAAAATAATTCTCACGACGTTTCGGCCACAACGCAAGCAGCCGTCCTCAGGTGAAGAATGAGACACTGCCAAGCTTGGAGCTTATATATAAGCTGGGTTGGAGGTGGAAAAAGAGCGCCTTGACAAAAGAATGTGCACATCAAGAGGAGTTTAGCATATTCATGGGAAATGCGTAGGAGGTGGGTGGGGGGGTTTCAAAGTCATATTATGCCCGTGCATTACGCAGGATCAGCAGCATCAAAGCGAGGGGACAGGGGGTAGCATTAACAAAGGGAGGGAATGTTACTAGTATGTAGAAGCAATGAACCCAGCTCATATATAAGCTCCAAGCTTGGCAGTGTCTCATTCTTCACCTGAAGACGGCCGCTTGCGTTGTGGCCGAAACGTCGTGATAATTATTTTATTATGTTTTATTTTTATTATTTTATTACTTCCCTTCTACGTGGTGACTTTACCGAAAGAACCAAGAAGACATGTCCTCTGTGTTTGATGCTCTTACCTTTCAATGACGGTCTTGTTAACCTCAAAAGTAGTCTCTAGCCGCGTTGTCTGCTCAGAAAGTTCCGTGTTCTTCAAAGTAATATCGTCGATTTTTTTCCGCGTCTCCTTTAAATCTTCTGCATATACTGCAACGATGAATATCGCAACGAACACAACCACGAACTTCGCACAACGCAGGATTAATGATTGTCAGTGATCCTTTAAATAAGGATTAATTGAATTCCGAACAAAATATCACTTTTACAGAGCCGTGTCCTCCCGTTTCTCGAGGCATTTAGTTCAACGCCATAACACCATCATCAGTCAGCGTCAATTCACCGAGCCTCTCGCCCCTCCGTGCAGCATCGATGCCCTCATGCAGCCCCTTCCTCCCCATCCTCATCTCTCATCACCATTTGCTCTCCTGCTTCTCCATTCCTTCTAGATTTGAAGCTTTCGTGACTGCAAGGATTCATATTCTTAGGTGTTTTCGGTAAAGTCACCGTGTAGGTAAAACATCAAAATTAATGAAAATAAAATAAAATAAAGATCACGACGTTTCGGAGGCAACACAAGCTTCCGTCTTCAGGTGGAACCGTCACAGCCACGACAGCCGTATCAAGTAAATGAGAGATTACAAGAGCTACCACTGCGTTTATATAATGGTTGGAGAGGCGGTAATGGCCAAGTACAGCACACTTGTTATTCATATGGTAAGGTGAGGTTTTATCAAGATGTCGCGTTGGGCATGTTATTGTTGTTGTTACTGTTGTTAGTGTTGTTGTTATTGTTGTTGCAGCTGCCGTGAATAATCCAAATTGATTCTAGATTTGAAACTTTCGTGACTGCAAGGATTCATCTTCTTGGTTCTTTCGGTAAAGTCACGTAGGTAAAAAATGAAAGTAAAATTAATAAAAAATAAAATAAAAATCACGACGTTTCGGAGGCAACACAAGCTTCCGTCTTCAGGTGGAACCGTCACAGCCACGACAGCCGTATCAAGTAAATGAGAGATTGCAAGAGCTACCACTCCGTTTATATAATGGTTGAGGGGGGGGAAGGGGCAGGAATGGCACACTTTTTATTCTAGATTTGAAGCTTTCGTGACTGCAAGGAATCATATTCTTAGGTTGTTTCGGTAAAGTCACCGTGTAGGTAAAACATCAAAATTAATGAAAATAATAAAATAAAATAAAGATCACGACGTTTCGGAGGCAACACAAGTCTCCGACTGTCCCACCTGCTAACGGAGACTTGTGTTGCCTCCGAAACGTCGTGATCTTTATTTTATTTTATTAATTTTGATGTTTTACCTGCGTGACTTTACCGAAAACACCTAAGAATACCACTTTTTATAATTATGGTAAGACTATGAATAGTCTCAAACCACACCTTACCATAATAATAAAAAGTTTATTTTATTTTACTTTTATTAATTTTAATGTTTTACCTACACGGTGACTTTACCGAAAAAACCTAAGAATATGAATATTCTCCATTCCTTTGACATCATTTTCCCCTAATAAGGATTAATTGAATTAGATTTGAAGCTTTCGTGACTGCAAGGATTCATATTCTTAGGCGTTTTCGGTAAAGTCACCGTGTAGGTAAAACATCAAAATTAATTAAAATAAAATAAAACAAAAAATCACGACGTTTCGGAGGCAACACAAGTCTCCATCATCAGGTGGGACCGTCACAGCCGGATTAGCTGCATCAAGTGAGGCAATGATTCAAGATATAATCCCTTATAAGCAAGTTGAAGGGGGGGAGGAGAGGGGGGCTCATCAGAATGTGGTAGCCAATGAATGGAAACGTAAAATAGTGCCTGTCAGATAAGATGGTCCAAAAAAGTGTAATTAAGTCTTTTTTGCGTGGTTGATAACATCTTTCCAATGTTTGTATCGCTCTCTTGCTGCACATCAGAGCCTTGATTCCGCGCCCCTTCCCGTTGTGTGCCACGTGTAACAAGTTGCAAGGGGAGACGATGCAACCTCAGTTCTTAAGTGTAGTTAAAGATTTAACTACACTTATTTGACCAATCTTATTTATAATTTGACAGACAACTATTACAGGTGTACCATGGTCACCGTGTTTAATTGTCACCAACCACAACAAAGGCTCACCCTCTTAAGCCTCACCTTACCATATGAATAATAAGTATAACCCGTAAAAACAAAGTTTTTCTCTCTAAATCCTTGATATGCGTGGCGGCTAGAGTCCTCTCGTCCTCTGGCTTGAGATGGCTGCCACCTATGGGTCAGATGATTGTCTGCCAGTATTAAGCAATTGGTAATTAAATATTTAATTTGTTTTCCCTAAACAGTGTAACATTTTGGAATTTTTTTTCACGAACATTAATTGTCACGCACAACGAGTCTGTGTGCAAAATGTCAGCTCGATTGGATCACGGGAAGTGGGTTAAAAATGACCGAAAAATTTTCACGGTCGTAAGCGCGCAAGCAAGCAAGTGAACTTAATATAAAGGATTTAAAAAGTGTGCTGTACCTGGCCCTTCCCCCCTCTCCAACCATTATATAAACGGAGTGGTAGCTCTTGCGATCTCTCATTTACTTGATACGGCTGTCGTGGCTGTGACGGTTCCACCTGAAGACGGAAGCTTGTGTTGCCTCCGAAACGTCGTGATTTTATTTTATTTTACTTTTATTAATTTTAATGTTTTACCTACACGGTGACTTTACCGGAAAAAACCTAAGAATATGAAACCTTAGTTCTGGTTATTCTGATCGCGATGTTGAAGCTATGCCAATTGGATTCTTCCCTTACGTGACCGCTGGGCACCACGACACTTCACGTGAACTCTGCTCATGTGTCAACACGTCACGTGGAGGAGAGCCATCACTCACAGCAGACTCCTGATTTTCTTGAATGCGTTTCACGACGAATTAAGTAAACGAACAAAGATTAAACAGGACCCTGCGGGGTGGGCTGTTAGGAACGAATAACCAAAGAATATAAACATAATGTATTGTTACACTTGTTTAGCCAGGAAAGCCTCACTGAGTCTCAAGGTTTTTGTAGGGTCCTGCCAAGTGTTTGCAGTAGGGGGCGATGTTGCTACACCTAATCGGACGATACGAAGGGAGAGTTTCAGGCCTAGTTCTAGGCTTTAGGCCTAGCTGTAGGCTTTAGGCCGCCGTGAGTTAATTTTTAATTTAAATGTTTTTATTATTTATGTAAAAGCTTTAAATTTAAATGTTTCTATTTAAAAGCATCAGGGAATGTAACATTGTTAAACATTAACTCCCTTGCACACACGCGGGGGTCCGATACGAATGGAGAGTTTGAGGCCTAGTTTTAGGCTTTAGGCCTAGCTGTAGGCTTTAGGACGCTGTGAGTTAATTTTTCTTGAATGCGTTTCACGACGAATTAAGTAAACGAACAAAGATGAACTAGAAAACACTAACGGGGGTTTTAATGCCGCCCACTAAGAGGAAAAGGAAGATCAACACGTACGCTTTCGCGACCGATATCATCATCCGCAATAGAGGTTTTTGTGGGTTAAATCGCGTAAAAACGAACGTGTCGTTAAACCCGCCACCACCCGTCACGGCCAATGAGTACGGTTTGTCGCGTGAACACAACTTTAGGCGCCTGATAATGCTGTGATCGCTAGCGAAACGTCGTACCGGAATTGTACACATTGTGAGTTGATCGTGTGCTGTACTCGTCTCGTTTACGTGACAAACCTTACTCATTGGCCGTGTCAGGCGGTGGCGGGGTTAACGACACATTTATATTTACGCGATCTAACCCAACAAACACATTCCTGCGGAGGGAGCTGGTAGGAACGTCGGGTTGCTCGGTCAATGGCCTGCAGGGTCAACGGCGGCGTGGGGTATTCCGCAAATCTGGCCGACTGTGAGGGCGGGCACAAGCCGGCATGAGTAGGTGAAACGTTGAGTTTTATAAGGGCACCACGGGGTGACCAGCCCCTCCCCACCCAGCCCCACCCCCTACCCAGCCCCACCCTCCCCACCCAGCCCCTCCCCACCCTCCTCTCCCCACCCAGCCCCTCCCCACTGTCCCCTCTCCACCCAGCCCCACCCTCCCCACCCAGCCCCTCCCCACCCTGCCCTCCCCACCCAGCCCCTCCCCACCCAGCCCTTCCCCACCCAGCCCCTCCCCACTGTCCCCTCTCCACCCAGCCCCACCCTCCCCACCCAGCTCCTCCCACCCCCCACCCAGCCTCACCCTCCCCACCCTCCCCTCCCCACCCAGCCCCTCCCCACCCTCCCCTCCCCACCCAGCCCCTCCCCACCCTCCCCACCCCACCCAGCCCCTCCCCACTGTCCCCTCTCCACCCAGCCCCACCCCTCCCATTTTTGGATGCACGACAGACGGACGGACACAACAATCCCCTGTGGGCTGGTGTAACCAGGAGGTTCCTACCAGTTTTATAGGAAAGCAAAGACCCTCTCCCTCCACAAGCTAAGGCCAGACGAACCCTCCGTGCCGTTCAGTGGCCAACCCAGCCCCCCACTACTCCTACCCCCCACCCAGACCCACCCTCCCCACCCAGCCCCACCCTCCCCTCCCCACCCAGCCCCACCCCTCCCATTTTTGGATGCACGACAGACGGACGGACACAATAATCCCCTGTGGGCTGGTGTAACCAGGAGGTTCCTACCAGTAAAAACCTCTTATTCTTAGGTTTTTTCGGTAAAGTCACCGTGTAGGTAAAACATCAAAATTAATAAAAATAAAATAAAAATCACGACGTTTCGGAGGCAACACAAGTCTCCGTCATCAGGTGGGACCGTCACAGCCGGATTAGCTGCATCAAGTGCATCAAGCCAGATTAGCTGCATCAGTTGATGCAGCTAATCCGGCTGTGACGGTCCCACCTGAAGACGGAGACTTGTGTTGCCTCCGAAACGTTGTGATTTTATTTTATTTTATTTTTATTAATTTTAATGTTTTACCTACATGGTGACTTTACCGAAAAAACCTAAGAATATGAATCCTTGCAGTCACGAAAGCTTCAAATCTAGAAGTAAAAACCTCTTATTGTGAAAAATGAAGATGTGGACATTTTTTGGGCCGACTGGCCTTCATGCAGATAAAAAAATACAAATTGTCGACGCGAATCCCATTTAGTCGGATTCACCGCTTTCACGAGGCTCCGACTAAAAGCTGCCGCCCCATCGCTATCGGGCGCGAGAAACGTGGAGCGCGAGTGTCTATTTGCGCTATAACACCGGAAGTGTCGCTCGAACGAAAACCACAACTCACTTTTAGCCTTCTCTGTTTCCGCATCGAACAGCATGATCAGTTTCACGCTTCGATGGTGATCTGTAGAAAAAACGAAGATGTCATTCAGCACGTGAAACACGCGCTTTGTGGATAGCTGTGTTTGTGGGCAGCAGTCACGGGCGGTGGCGGCGGTGCACGCACGCCCCTGATCCAGCGCTGCGGGGCGAAGCTCGATGGATCAGACAAATGTTGCTAAAAGCGTCACAGCAAAGGGTGGACTGTTGCCTTCTGGCGCGCTTGTGTATGGGATAGAGTGGTAGATTTTTACCCTTTCAACTGGTACAACAACTGACACCTTTATACATCTTCTTGGTTCTTTCGGTAAAGTCACGTAGAAGGGAAGTAATAAAATAATAAAAATAGAACATAATAAAATAATTATTATTTTATTACTTCCCTTCTACGTGACGACTTTACCGAAAGAACCAAGAAGATGAATCCCTGCAGTCACGAAAGCTTTAAATCGAAACGTTTATACAAGGCATCATGTTTGCAATAACCACAACACAAGCACTCAAAATGCAAACAAAAAAGAAACTCTGATAATGATGATGATATGCACTGTCCTTGAAGTTGATTGGTCCACACCCGAGACAGCTTTTCTCAGAGCCTAGTCTCACATGGAGTTGGACCAGATGATGCCAAAAGGCGCACAACTCAAAGACAGCGCACTGTCAGAGTATTGAGAGTTCGGGGTGAAGCATTTACACTATGAGACAACTCCTTTAGCAGTGGCAAAATATAGTAATCGTCAAAAACAGTGGCCTTACAAGGACAAATATATAATTGGGTGGCATTTGAGGTAATGACCTTTCGCCGTCGCACATGAATAGACGCAAAGAGAGACAGAGCGGATCATAAGATTTGGAGACTGAACTTTAAATCATTGCGCCGACGTGAGTTTTTATCGTTCCGATGTCCAGTTTTTAAATTGCCATTTGACAGACGTCAGTGTAGCCAGAGCATCTACGTGTTGCATCGTACTTCTATGCTCTCGCCGTAAGCCAGGGGTCGGGAACCGACTGGGAGAGCCATAAAAGCCAAATATTTCTAAATATATTTCATTGAGAGCCATATAGTGTAATTTTAACGTGTAATAAATTAAATATGTATCACTTTTAATGCGACTTGGTGCTATATGGTTTTGCTGATGGCCTTGTAGTCTGGTTCGTACGTGGTGAGGCTGAGCTTCGTGCAGGCGTGACCCGTGAAATTTAACTTCAAAACTAATTTCTGTTCACTTTAAAACGACACAGTATTATTAAGCAAATATCACAAGTATTTTAAAATCAGTTCCAAACTGATTTTTACTTATTTTTTCAACTCAAAATTGTCTGGGAGCCATATGCCATCACCGCAAGAGCCACATATGGCTCGCGAGCCATAGGTTCCCGGCCGCTGCCCTAAGCTATGCTCCTCACTGGCACCAACCCGCGCGGATCGACATGGTGTAGCGCAGTCAAACAACGCCAGCAACCCTTTCGGCACGGGCAGGCCCTCATCCAGCAGCGGAGTGACACACGAACGCACGAGTCCGCGAGCATTGCACGCAGAACGTGCACTGTGGAAGCAGAGATTAGTTATTTTCGCGGGTAGATTTGAGCGAGGCTCAGAGGGGGCTGTACAGAGGGGCAAGATGGATCGATCCGGTACGGCCGAGTGCGTACGAACCCGGCTGGAACGCTTGGCCACGGCTGCAAGAGGTTTATCATCGCAAAGCCAGGCACTTGGAGGCATCGTTGGGTATATCTTCTTGGTTCTTTCGGTAAAGTCATCATGTAGAAGGGAAGTAATGAAATAATGAAAATAAAACATAATAAAATATTATGTTTTATTTTTATTATTTATTATATATTATAAAAATAAAACATAATAATAAATTATTCTGTTTTATAAAAATGAAACATAATAAATTAATTATAAAAATAAAATAAAACATAATAAATGATTATGTTTTATAAAAATAAAACATAAAAAATTATAATGTTTTATTTTTATTCTTTTATTACTTCCCTTCTACGTGACGACTTTACCGAACGAACCAAGAAGATGAATCCCTGCTGCAGTCACGAAAGAAGCTTTAAATCGAAATTTAATTACGTTTCATTTTTATTATTTGATAATGTTATATCTTTATTATTTTATTATTTTATTTTATTATTTTATTATATTATTTTTTTATGTTTTATAAAAATAAAACATAAAAAATTATAATGTTTTATTTTTATTATTTTATTACTTCCCTTCTATGTGGTGACTTTACCGAAAGAACCAAGAAGATGAATCCCTGCAGTCACGAAAGCTTTAAATCGAAATTTAATTACGTTTCATTTTTATTATGTGATTATGTTTTATCTTTATTATTTTATTATTTTATTATATTATTTTTTATTTTTTTATATTATTTTATTATGTTTTATTTTTATTATTTTAATATTTTATTATTTTATTTTATTATATTATTTTATTATGTTCTATCTTTATTATTTTATTATTTTATTATTATTTTATTATGTTTTATTTTCATTATTTTATTACTTCCCTTCTACGTGACGACTTACCGAAAGAACCAAGAAGATGAATCCCTGCAGCAGTCACGAAAGAAGCTTTCAATCAAAATCGTTGGGTATGCTTAAGCATCGCGTCTGGTGAGCCGGCAATGTGCGAACTGCGTTCGGTTTCCTCCGAGGCGAGTGAGCGCTGTAGAGGGACGTGTCGAGCGGTCGAGCCGTACTATGGGGACCTCATTTGCCAGTAAAAATATGATAATTGGTTTTGAACCCTTCTATCTGGCAACAAAACTGACACCTTTTTGCAAGGAGTCATGTTTGCATAGACTACAATACCTGCAGTCATAATACAAACAAAAGAACACAACTCTGATAATGTATGCACTGTCCTTGAAGTTGATTGGTCCACACCCGAGTCATCTGGTCCAACCCATGTGAGACTGGGCTCTAAGGAAAGCTGTCTCGGGTGTGGACCAATCAATTTCAAGGACCATGTGAGACTAGGCTCTAAGGAAAGCTGTCTCGGGTGTGGACCAATCAACTTCAAGGACCATGTGAGACTAGGCTCTAAGGAAAGCTGTCTCGGGTGTGGACCAATCAACTTCAAGGACCATGTGAGACTAGGCTCTAAGGAAAGCTGTCTCGGGTGTGGACCAATCAACTTCAAGGACCATGTGAGACTAGGCTCTAAGGAAAGCTGTCTCGGGTGTGGACCAATCAACTTCAAGGACCATGTGAGACTAGGGCTCTAAGGAAAGCTGTCTCGGGTGTGGACCAATCAACTTCAAGGACCATGTGAGACTAGGCTCTAAGGAAAGCTGTCTCGGGTGTGGACCAATCAACTTCAAGGACCATGTGAGACTAGGCTCTAAGGAAAGCTGTCTCGGGTGTGGACCAATCAACTTCAAGGACCATGTGAGACTAGGCTCTAAGGAAAGCTGTCTCGGGTGTGGACCAATCAACTTCAAGGACCATGTGAGACTAGGCTCTAAGGAAAGCTGTCTCGGGTGTGGACCAATCAACTTCAAGGACCATGTGAGACTAGGCTCTAAGGAAAGCTGTCTCGGGTGTGGACCAATCAACTTCAAGGACCATGTGAGACTAGGCTCTAAGGAAAGCTGTCTCGGGTGTGGACCAATCAACTTCAAGGACCATGTGAGACTAGGCTCTAAGGAAAGCTGTCTCGGGTGTGGACCAATCAACTTCAAGGACCATGTGAGACTAGGCTCTAAGGAAAGCTGTCTCGGGTGTGGACCAATCAACTTCAAGGACCATGTGAGACTAGGCTCTAAGGAAAGCTGTCTCGGGTGTGGACCAATCAACTTCAAGGACCATGTGAGACTAGGCTCTAAGGAAAGCTGTCTCGGGTGTGGACCAATCAACTTCAAGGACCATGTGAGACTAGGCTCTAAGGAAAGCTGTCTCGGGTGTGGACCAATCAACTTCAAGGACCATGTGAGACTAGGCTCTAAGGAAAGCTGTCTCGGGTGTGGACCAATCAACTTCAAGGACCATGTGAGACTAGGCTCTAAGGAAAGCTGTCTCGGGTGTGGACCAATCAACTTCAAGGACCATGTGAGACTAGGCTCTAAGGAAAGCTGTCTCGGGTGTGGACCAATCAACTTCAAGGACCATGTGAGACTAGGCTCTAAGGAAAGCTGTCTCGGGTGTGGACCAATCAACTTCAAGGACCATGTGAGACTAGGCTCTAAGGAAAGCTGTCTCGGGTGTGGACCAATCAACTTCAAGGACCATGTGAGACTAGGCTCTAAGGAAAGCTGTCTCGGGTGTGGACCAATCAACTTCAAGGACCATGTGAGACTAGGCTCTAAGGAAAGCTGTCTCGGGTGTGGACCAATCAACTTCAAGGACCATGTGAGACTAGGCTCTAAGGAAAGCTGTCTCGGGTGTGGACCAATCAACTTCAAGGACCATGTGAGACTAGGCTCTAAGGAAAGCTGTCTCGGGTGTGGACCAATCAACTTCAAGGACCATGTGAGACTAGGCTCTAAGGAAAGCTGTCTCGGGTGTGGACCAATCAACTTCAAGGACCATGTGAGACTAGGCTCTAAGGAAAGCTGTCTCGGGTGTGGACCAATCAACTTCAAGGACCATGTGAGACTAGGCTCTAAGGAAAGCTGTCTCGGGTGTGGACCAATCAACTTCAAGGACCATGTGAGACTAGGCTCTAAGGAAAGCTGTCTCGGGTGTGGACCAATCAACTTCAAGGACCATGTGAGACTAGGCTCTAAGGAAAGCTGTCTCGGGTGTGGACCAATCAACTTCAAGGACAGTGCACATTATCAGAGTTGTGTTCTTTTGTTTGTATTATGACTGCAGGTATTGCGGTCTACGCAAACATGGACTCCTTGTAAAAAAGGTGTCAGTTTTGTTGCCAGATAGAAGGGTAAAAAACAATTATCATATTTTTACTGGCAAATGAGGTCCCCATAGTGTAGATGCTTGCCCCGAGCTCTCATACTCTGATGGTGCATTGTCCTTGAGTTGTGCGCCTTTTGGCGTCATCTGGTCCAACCCATATGAGACTAGGCTCTAAGGAAAGCTGTCTCGGGTGTGGACCAATCAACTTCAAGGACCATGTGAGACTAGGCTCTAAGGAAAGCTGTCTCGGGTGTGGACCAATCAACTTCAAGGACCATGTGAGACTAGGCTCTAAGGAAAGCTGTCTCGGGTGTGGACCAATCAACTTCAAGGACCATGTGAGACTAGGCTCTAAGGAAAGCTGTCTCGGGTGTGGACCAATCAACTTCAAGGACCATGTGAGACTAGGCTCTAAGGAAAGCTGTCTCGGGTGTGGACCAATCAACTTCAAGGACAGTGCACATTATCAGAGTTGTGTTCTTTTGTTTGTATTATGACTGCAGGTATTGCGGTCTACGCAAACATGACTCCTTGCAAAAAGGTGTCAGTTTTGTTGCCAGATAGAAGGGTAAAAAACCAATTATCATATTTTTACTGGCAAATGAGGTCCCCATAGTGTAGATGCTTGCCCCGAGCTCTCATACTCTGATGGTGCATTGTCCTTGAGTTGTGCGCCTTTTGGCGTCATCTGGTCCAACCCATATGAGACTAGGCTCGAAGGAAAGCTGTCTCGGGTGTGGACCAATCAACTTCAAGGACCATGTGAGACTAGGCTCTAAGGAAAGCTGTCTCGGGTGTGGACCAATCAACTTCAAGGACCATGTGAGACTAGGCTCTAAGGAAAGCTGTCTCGGGTGTGGACCAATCAACTTCAAGGACCATGTGAGACTAGGCTCTAAGGAAAGCTGTCTCGGGTGTGGACCAATCAACTTCAAGGACCATGTGAGACTAGGCTCTAAGGAAAGCTGTCTCGGGTGTGGACCAATCAACTTCAAGGACCATGTGAGACTAGGCTCTAAGGAAAGCTGTCTCGGGTGTGGACCAATCAACTTCAAGGACCATGTGAGACTAGGCTCTAAGGAAAGCTGTCTCGGGTGTGGACCAATCAACTTCAAGGACAGTGCACATTATCAGAGTTGTGTTCTTTTGTTTGTATTATGACTGCAGGTATTGCGGTCTACGCAAACATGACTCCTTGCAAAAAGGTGTCAGTTTTGTTGCCAGATAGAAGGGTAAAAAACCAATTATCATATTTTTACTGGCAAATGAGGTCCCCATAGTGTAGATGCTTGCCCCGAGCTCTCATACTCTGATGGTGCATTGTCCTTGAGTTGTGCGCCTTTTGGCGTCATCTGGTCCAACCCATATGAGACTAGGCTCGAAGGAAAGCTGTCTCGGGTGTGGACCAATCAACTTCAAGGACCATGTGAGACTAGGCTCTAAGGAAAGCTGTCTCGGGTGTGGACCAATCAACTTCAAGGACCATGTGAGACTAGGCTCTAAGGAAAGCTGTCTCGGGTGTGGACCAATCAACTTCAAGGACCATGTGAGACTAGGCTCTAAGGAAAGCTGTCTCGGGTGTGGACCAATCAACTTCAAGGACCATGTGAGACTAGGCTCTAAGGAAAGCTGTCTCGGGTGTGGACCAATCAACTTCAAGGACAGTGCACATTATCAGAGTTGTGTTCTTTTGTTTGTATTATGACTGCAGGTATTGCGGTCTACGCAAACATGACTCCTTGCAAAAAGGTGTCAGTTTTGTTGCCAGATAGAAGGGTAAAAAACCAATTATCATATTTTTACTGGCAAATGAGGTCCCCATAGTGTAGATGCTTGCCCCGAGCTCTCATACTCTGATGGTGCATTGTCCTTGAGTTGTGCGCCTTTTGGCGTCATCTGGTTCAACCCATATGAGACTAGGCTCTAAGGAAAGCTGTCTCGGGTGTGGACCAATCAACTTCAAGGACAGTGCATACATTATCAGAGTTGTGTTCTTTTGTTTGCATTATGACCGCAGCTATTGCTGTCTACGCAAACATGACTCCTTGTAAAAAAGGTGTCAGTTTTGTTGCCAGATAGAAGGGTAAAAAAACAATTATCATATTTTTACTGGCAAATGAGGTCCCCATAGTGTAGATGCTTGCCCCGAGCTCTCATACTCTGATGGTGCATTGTCCTTGAGTTGTGCGCCTTTTGGCGTCATCTGGTCCAACCCATATGAGACTAGGCTCTAAGGAAAGCTGTCTCGGGTGTGGACCAATCAACTTCAAGGACAGTGCATACATTATCAGAGTTGTGTTCTTTTGTTTGCATTATGACTGCAGGTATTGCGGTCTACGCAAACATGACTCCTTGCAAAAAGGTGTCAGTTTTGTTGCCAGATAGAAGGGTAAAGAACCAATTATCATATTTTTTACTGGCAAATGAGGTCCCCATAGTGTAGATGCTTGCCCCGAGCTCTCATACTCTGATGGTGCATTGTCCTTGAGTTGTGCGCCTTTTGGCGTCATCTGGTCCAACCCATATGAGACTAGGCTCTAACAAAAGCTGTCTCGGGTGTGGACCAATCAACTTCAAGGACAGTGCATACATTATCAGAGTTGTGTTCTTTTGTTTGCATTATGACCGCAGGTATTGCGGTCTACGCAAACATGACTCCTCGTAAAAAAGGTGTCAGTTTTGTTGCCAGATAGAAGGGTAACAAAACCAATGGTCGAGCCGTAGGCAACGTGCTTGCTACAAGTTGGAGTCAGAAAAGGTCACCTCGGAGAAGTCCGTGTGCCAGCAACTCCGACATGACCCGGACTTCATCGGCGTTCAACGCCGAGCTCATGTCTGCGTCGGCAAAGCCCGCGGCACCGCCGACAAAAGCTCCGGCACGGCGGAGGCAGTCGACGCAGCAAATGTTTCTGGTTCTACGAGGAGGAAGGAAGGAAGGAGGAGAAAACGACCGTCAACACATATTCTTCTTGGTTCTTTCGGTAAAGTCGTCACGTAGAAGGGAAGTAATAAAATGGTAAAAAGGCATGGTGATGGAGATGGGGAGATATACACAGAGAGACAGAGAGACACAGACACAGAGAGACACAGAGAGACAGAGAGAGACAGAGAGATACAGACACAGAGAGACACAGAGAGACAGAGAGATACAGACACAGAGAGACAGACACAGAGAGACACAGAGAGATACAGACACAGAGAGACACAGAGAGATACAGACACAGAGAGACACAGAGAGACAGAGAGATACAGACACAGAGAGACAGAGAGACAGAGAGAGATACAGACACAGAGAGACAGAGAGATACAGAGAGAGAGAGAGAGAGACAGAGAGAGACAGAGAGATACAGACACAGAGAGACACAGAGAGACAGAGAGACACAGAGAGACAGAGAGACAGAGAGAGACAGACACAGAGAGACACAGAGAGACAGAGAGACAGAGAGATACAGAGAGAGAGATACAGACACAGAGAGACACAGAGAGACAGAGAGATACAGACACAGAGAGACACAGAAAGACAGACATACTGAGACACAGAGAGACAGAGAGACAGAGAGAGACAGAGAGAGACACAGAGAGACAGAGAGACAGAGAGATACAGAGAGAGAGATACAGACACAGAGAGACACAGAGAGACAGAGAGATACAGACACAGAGAGACAGAGAGACAGAGAGAGACAGACACAGAGAGACACAGAGAGACAGAGAGACAGAGAGATACAGAGAGAGAGATACAGACACAGAGAGACACAGAGAGACACAGAGAGACAGACACAGAGAGATACAGAGAGACAGAGAGATACAGACACAGAGAGACACAGAGAGACAGAGAGACACAGACACAGAGAGACAGAGAGATACAGACACAGAGAGACACAGAGAGACAGAGACAGACAGAGAGACAGAGAGATACAGACACAGAGAGACACAGAGACACAGAGAGATACAGACACAGAGAGACAGAGAGATACAGACACAGAGAGACACAGAGAGACAGAGACAGACAGAGAGACAGAGAGATACAGACACAGAGAGAGATAGACACAGAGAGACACAGAGAGACACAGACACACAGAGAGACAGAGAGATACAGACACAGAGAGATACAGAGACACAGAGAGACACAGAGAGACACAGAGACACAGAGAGACAGAGAGATACAGACACAGAGAGACACAGAGAGACAGAGAGATACAGACACAGAGAGACACAGAGAGAAGAGATACAGACACAGAGAGACACAGAGAGACAGAGAGATACAGACACAGAGAGATACAGACACAGAGAGACAGAGAGATACAGACACAGAGAGACACAGAGAGACAGAGACAGACAGAGAGACAGAGAGATACAGACACAGAGAGAGATAGACACAGAGAGACACAGACACACAGAGAGACAGAGAGATACAGACACAGAGAGATACAGACACAGAGAGACACAGAGAGACACAGAGAGACAGAGAGATACAGACACAGAGAGACACAGAGAGACAGAGAGATACAGACACAGAGAGACACAGAGAGACAGAGATATACAGACACAGAGAGACTCAGAGAGACACAGAGATACAGACACAGAGAGACTCAGAGAGACACAGAGATACAGACACAGAGAGAAACAGACACAGAGAGAGACACAGAGAGACAGAGAGATACAGACACAGAGAGACAGAGAGATACAGACACAGAGAGAAACAGACACAGAGAGAGACACAGAGAGACAGAGAGATACAGACACAGAGAGACAGAGAGATACAGACACAGAGAGACAGAGAGATACAGACACAGAGAGACAGAGAGATACAGACACAGAGAGACAGAGAGATACAGACACAGAGAGACACAGAGAGATACAGATAGAGAGAGATACAGACACAGAGAGACAGAGAGATACAGACACAGAGAGACAGAGAGATACAGACACAGAGAGACAGAGAGATACAGACACAGAGAGACACAGAGAGACAGAGAGATACAGACACAGAGAGACACAGAGAGATACAGACACAGAGAGATACAGACAGAGAGACACAGAGACACAGAGAGATACAGACACAGAGAGACACAGAGACACAGAGAGATACAGACACAGAGAGACACAGAGAGACAGAGAGATACAGACACAGAGAGACACAGAGAGATACAGATAGAGAGAGATACAGACACAGAGAGACAGAGAGATACAGACACAGATACAGACACAGAGAGACAGAGAGATACAGACACAGAGAGACACAGAGAGACAGAGAGATACAGACACAGAGAGACACAGAGAGATACAGACACAGAGAGATACAGACAGAGAGACACAGAGACACAGAGAGATACAGACACAGAGAGACACAGAGAGACAGAGAGATACAGACACAGAGAGACACAGAAAGACACGGAGATACAGACACAGAGAGAGACAGACACAGAGAGACACAGAGAGACAGAGAGATACAGACACAGAGAGACACAGAGAGACAGAGAGATACACACACAGAGAGACACAGAGAGACAGAGAGATACAGACACAGAGAGAGACAGACACAGAGAGACACAGAGAGACAGAGAGATACAGACACAGAGAGAGACAGACACAGAGAGACACAGAGAGACAGAGAGATACAGACACAGAGAGACACAGAGAGACAGAGAGATACACACACAGAGAGACACAGAGAGACAGAGAGATACAGACACAGAGAGACACAGAGAGACAGAGAGATACAGACACAGAGAGACAGAGAGATACAGACACAGAGAGAAACAGACACAGAGAGAGACACAGAGAGACAGAGAGATACAGACACAGAGAGACAGAGAGATACAGACACAGAGAGACAGAGAGATACAGACACAGAGAGACAGAGAGATACAGACACAGAGAGACACAGAGAGACAGAGAGATACAGACACAGAGAGACACAGAGAGATACAGACACAGAGAGATACAGACAGAGAGACACAGAGACACAGAGAGATACAGACACAGAGAGACACAGAGAGACAGAGAGATACAGACACAGAGAGACACAGAGAGACAGAGAGATACACACACAGAGAGACACAGAGAGACAGAGAGATACAGACACAGAGAGAGACAGACACAGAGAGACACAGAGAGACAGAGAGATACAGACACAGAGAGAGACAGACACAGAGAGACACAGAGAGACAGAGAGATACAGAACACAGAGAGACACAGAGAGACAGAGAGATACACACACAGAGAGACACAGAGAGACAGAGAGATACAGACACAGAGAGACACAGAGAGACAGAGAGATACAGACACAGAGAGATACAGACACAGAGAGAGACAGACACAGAGAGACACAGAGAGACAGAGAGATACAGACACAGAGAGACACAGAGAGACAGAGAGATACAGACACAGAGAGACACAGCGAGACAGAGAGATACACACACAGAGAGACACAGAGAGACAGAGAGATACAGACACAGAGAGACACAGAGAGACAGAGAGACAGAGAGATACAGACACAGAGAGAGATACAGACACAGAGAGAGACAGACACAGAGAGACACAGAGAGACAGAGAGACACAGAGACACAGAGAGATACAGACACAGAGAGATACAGACACAGAGAGACACAGAGAGACAGAGATACAGACACAGAGAGAGAGACAGACACAGAGAGACACAGAGAGACAGAGAGATACAGACACAGAGAGAGAGACAGACACAGAGAGACACAGAGAGACAGAGAGATACAGACACAGAGAGAGACAGACACAGAGAGACACAGAGGAGACAGAGAGATACAGACACAGAGAGATACAGACACAGAGAGACACAGAGAGACAGAGAGACAGAGAGATACAGACACAGAGAGAGATACAGACACAGAGAGAGATAGACACAGAGAGACACAGAGAGACAGAGAGATACAGACACAGAGAGACACAGAGAGACAGAGAGATACAGACACAGAGAGAGAGACAGACACAGAGAGACACAGAGAGACAGAGAGATACAGACACAGAGAGACACAGAGACACAGAGAGATACAGACACAGAGAGACACAGAGAGACAGAGAGATACAGACACAGAGAGACACAGAGAGACAGAGAGAGACAGACACAGAGAGACACAGAGAGACAGAGAGACACAGACACAGAGAGAGATACAGACACAGAGAGACACAGAGAGACACAGAGAGACAGACACAGAGAGACACAGAGACACAGAGAGACACAGAGAGACAGAGAGACACAGACACAGAGAGACACAGAGAGACACAGAGACACAGACACAGAGAGACACAGAGAGACAGAGAGATACAGACACAGAGAGACACAGAGAGACAGAGAGATACAGACACAGAGAGCGATACAGACACAGAGAGAGAGACAGACACAGAGAGACACAGAGAGACAGAGAGATACAGACACAGAGAGAGAGACACAGACACAGAGAGACAGACACAGAGAGACACAGAGAGACAGAGAGAGACAGACACAGAGAGAGAGACACAGACACAGAGAGACACAGAGAGACACAGAGAGACAGACACAGAGAGACACAGAGACGCAGAGAGACACATAGAGACAGAGAGATGCAGACACAGAGAGACACAGAGAGACACAGAGATACAGACACAGAGAGACACAGAGAGACAGAGAGATACAGACACAGAGAGACACAGAGAGACAGAGAGATACAGACACAGAGAGCGATACAGACACAGAGAGAGAGAGACAGACACAGAGAGACACAGAGAGACAAAGAGATACAGACACAGAGAGAGACAGACACAGAGAGACACAGAGAGATACAGACACAGAGAGACAGAGAGATACAGACACAGAGAGAGACAGACACAGAGAGACACAGAGAGACAGAGAGACACAGAGAGACAGAGAGATACAGACACAGAGAGACACAGAGAGACAGAGAGATACAGAGAGAGAGAGAGAGACAGACACAGAGAGACACAGAGATACAGACACAGAGAGACACAGAGAGACAGAGAGATACAGACACAGAGAGACACAGAGATACAGACACAGAGAGACACAGAGAGACAGAGAGATACAGACACAGAGAGAGATACAGACACAGAGAGACACAGAGACACAGAGAGATACAGACACAGAGAGAGAAACAGACACAGAGAGACACAGAGACACAGAGAGATACAGACACAGAGAGAGATACAGACACAGAGAGACACAGAGACACAGAGAGATACAGACACAGAGAGAGAAACAGACACAGAGAGACACAGAGAGACACAGAGAGATACAGACACAGAGAGAGAAACAGACACAGAGAGACACAGAGACACAGAGAGAGAAACAGACACAGAGAGACACAGAGATACAGACACAGAGAGACACAGAGACACAGAGAGATACAGACACAGAGAGAGAAACAGACACAGAGAGAGACACAGAGACACAGAGAGATACAGACACAGAGAGATAAACAGACACAGAGAGACACAGAGAGACACAGAGAGACAGAGAGATACAGACACAGAGAGAGACAGACACAGAGAGACACAGAGAGACACAGAGATACAGACACAGAGAGACACAGAGAGATACAGACACAGAGAGATACATAGTTGTTGTTGTAGTTGTTGTAGTAGTTGTAGTTGTTGTAGTTGTAGTAGTTGTAGTTGTTGTAGTAGTTGTAGTAGTTGTAGTTGTTGTAGTAGTTGTAGTAGTTGTAGTTGTTGTAGTTGTAGTTGTTGTAGTAGTTGTAGTAGTTGTAGTTGTTGTAGTTGTAGTTGTTGTAGTTGTAGTTGTTGTAGTAGTTGTAGTTGTTGTAGTTGTTGTAGTTGTAGTTGTTGTAGTAGTTGTTGTAGTAGTTGTAGTTGTTGTAGTAGTTGTAGTTGTTGTAGTTGTTGTAGTAGTTGTAGTAGTTGTAGTTGTTGTAGTTGTAGTTGTTGTAGTAGTTGTAGTAGTTGTTGTTGTTGTAGTTGTAGTTGTTGTAGTTGTAGTTGTTGTAGTAGTTGTAGTTGTTGTAGTTGTAGTTGTTGTAGTAGTTGTAGTTGTAGTTGTTGTCGTAAACTCGCTCCCCTCACGCAGCCGCCGCGTCGATTCTCACAGAATCGATATTATCAACGCAGCTTCGATTCTCACAGAATCGACGGCTCATCGATTCTCACAGAATCGACGACTCATCGATTCTCACAGAATCGCTATTATCAACGCAGCTTCGATTCTCACAGAATCGACGGCTCATCGATTCTCACAGAATCGACGACTCATCGATTCTCACAGAATCGATATTATCAACGCAGCTTCGATTCTCACAGAATCGACGGCTCATCGATTCTCACAGAATCGACGACTCATCGATTCTCACAGAATCGCTATTATCAACGCATCTTCGATTCTCACAGAATCGACGGCTCATCGATTCTCACAGAATCGACGACTCATCGATTCTCACAGAATCGCTATTATCAACGCATCTTCGATTCTCACAGAATCGACGGCTCATCGATTCTCACAGAATCGACGACTCATCGATTCTCACAGAATCGCTATTATCAACGCAGCTTCGATTCTCACAGAATCGACGGCTCATCGATTCTCACAGAATCGACGACTCATCGATTCTCACAGAATCGATATTATCAACGCAGCTTCGATTCTCACAGAATCGACGGCTCATCGATTCTCACAGAATCGACGACTCATCGATTCTCACAGAATCGCTATTATCAACGCAGCTTCGATTCTCACAGAATCGACGGCTCATCGATTCTCACAGAATCGACGACTCATCGATTCTCACAGAATCGCTATTATCAACGCATCTTCGATTCTCACAGAATCGACGGCTCATCGATTCTCACAGAATCGACGACTCATCGATTCTCACAGAATCGATATTATCAACGCAGCTTCGATTCTCACAGACCCAGCAGGTGCCGTGGGTTGACTGCTGTGCCAGGCTAGGTGCACGAGCAGGTCACGTGACAGACCCAGCAGGTGCCGTGGGTTGACTGCTGTGCCAGGCTAGGTGCATGAGAAGGTCACGTGACAGACCCAGCAGGTGTCGTGGGTTGACTGCTGTGCCAGGCTAGGTGCATGAGCAGGTCACAGAGACAGAACCAGCAGGTGCCGTGGGTTGACTGCTGTGCCAGGCTAGGTGCATGAGAAGGTCACGTGACAGACCCAGCAGGTGCTGTGGGTTGACTGCTGTGCCAGGCTAGGTGCACGAGCAGGTCACGTGACAGACCCAGCAGGTGCCATGGGTGTACTGCTGTGCCAGGCTAGGTGCACGAGCAGGTCACGTGGCAGACCCAGCAGGTGCCGTGGGTTGACTGCTGTGCCAGGCTAGGTGCATGAGAAGGTCACGTGACAGACCCAGCAGGTGCCGTGGGTTGACTGCTGTGCCAGGCTAGGTGCATGAGAAGGTCACGTGACAGACCCAGCAGGTGCTGTGGGTTGACTGCTGTGCCAGGCTAGGTGCATGAGGAGGTCACAGAGACAGACCCAGCAGGTGCCGTGGGTGTACTGCTGTGCCAGGCTAGGTGCATGAGAAGGTCACGTGACAGACCCAGCAGGTGCCGTGGGTTGACTTCTGTGCCAGGCTAGGTGCATGAGCAGGTCACAGAGACAGACCCAGCAGGTGCCGTGGGTTGTACTGCTGTGCCAGGCTAGGTGCATGAGCAGGTCACAGAGACAGAACCAGCAGGTGCCGTGGGTTGTACTGCTGTGCCAGGCTAGGTGCATGAGCAGGTCACAGAGACAGACCCAGCAGGTGCCGTGGGTTGACTGCTGTGCCAGGCTAGGTGCATGAGGAGGTCACAGAGACAGACCCAGCAGGTGCCGTGGGTTGACTGCTGTGCCAGGCTAGGTGCATGAGCAGGTCACAGAGACAGAACCAGCAGGTGCCGTGGGTTGTACTGCTGTGCCAGGCTAGGTGCATGAGCAGGTCACAGAGACAGACCCAGCAGGTGCCGTGGGTTGTACTGCTGTGCCAGGCTAGGTGCATGAGCAGGTCACAGAGACAGACCCAGCAGGTGCCATGGGAGCTGGGAGGGGAGGGGGCAGGTGAGATCGCGTTATTTATAAATGTGTCGTAACCCTCCACCACCCGACACGGACAATCAGTACAAAAGTGTCACGTTGACAAAATACAAATAGTAAACGTTGTGGTTTCACGCTTCAACACACACCGGTGTGGGGGCTAAAGCAGCGAACTATTTTGTCTTTTGTCAACGTGACACTGTTTTACCGATTGGCCGTGTCGGGTGGTGGAGGGTTACGACACATTTATAAATAACGCGGCCATCTAAACCCAAACACGTTGATCGTGAATAACATTGGTCGCGAAAGCCGCTGCTACGTGCTAAACTGACCTAAAATAGGTCGGTTTCACGTCATGTTTGGGGATATTACAATTCCACCAGTTCGTCTATTGAATGCCCTCTTCGTCCGTGTACAGGTGCAGTCCTTTTACCGATCCACTGCAGGATGAATGAATGTAAAATAAAACAAATGTAAAAAATTCACGACGTTTATTTTATTTTCATTAATTTTGATGTTTTACCTACACGGTGACTTTACCGAAAAAAGCCTAAGAGTATGAATCCTTGCAGTCACGAAAGCTTCAAATCTAGAATAGACTTTGGAGCATAGTACATTACAACAACCGATTATCCTGCAGTGCCCTCTGCTGGCCACAACTTAACCCTGCAGCAGTCAACGATTCATATTTTCACCATGGGAACCTCATTTGCCAGTAAAAATATGATAATTGTTTCTTTACCCGTCTATCTGGCAACAAAACTGACACCTTTTTACAAGGAGTCATGTTTGCATAGACCACAATACCTGCAGTCATAATGCAAAACAAAACACACAACTCTGATAATGTAGCACTGTCCTTGAATTGATTGGTCCACACCCGAGACAGCTTTCCTTAGAGCCTAGTCTCACATGGTCCTTGAAGTTGATTGGTCCACACCCGAGACAGCTTCCTTAGAGCCTAGTCTCACATGGTCCTTGAAGTTGATTGGTCCACACCGAGACAGCTTTCCTTAGAGCCTAGTCTCACATGGTCCTTGAAGTTGATTGGTCCACACCCGAGACAGCTTTCCTTAGAGCCTAGTCTCACATGGTCCTTGAAGTTGATTGGTCCACACCCGAGACAGCTTTCCTTAGAGGGCCTAGTTTGGTCCCCTTCCTTTATGCCTAGTCCTCACAGGGTCCTTGAAGTTGATTGGTCCACACCCGAGACAGCTTTCCTTAGAGCCTAGTCTCACATGGTCCTTGAAGTTGATTGGTCCACACCCGAGACAGCTTTCCTTAGAGCTATCTCACATGGTCCTTGAAGTTGATTGGTCCCACACCCGAGACAGCTTTCCTTAGAGCCTAGTCTCACATGGTCCTTGAAGTTGATTGGTCCACACCCGAGACAGCTTTCCTTAGAGCCTAGTCTCACATGGTCCTTGAAGTTGATGG